ATTTATTACTTAGCTATGACATCATAAATTGATCCATTTGACTCGGAAGGTTAGATCATTGACCTACCATATAGATATGAAAATGGTTTCATTTTCTAACTGGTTTTAAATTTTGTATTTCATTTATATCATTAATAAAATAACTATTATTTATCACACTTATTTTTTTATTATATGATTAATATATAATATTATAGATGTGCCCAAAATTTTTTCATATTTTTTTTGTATTATTCTATTTTAAATTTTAAATTTTTAATTATACATCATGGGTTAACCCATTTATCCTAAAAGGTTGAATCACTAATCCTCCCTCTAGAGAGGAAAGTGATTTCATTTCCCATTGGTTTTAAGTTGTATATTCAAAATTCATAATTAATAAAATTATGTTTATTTTGTCATATTTAACTTTTTAATATGAGAAGTATATAATAATAGAAATGCGCCTAATTTTTTTCAAAATTTCTTTATTTTCTGTAGTTTTTTGTATTATTTATATGTCTAAATTTGTATTATTTATTTATAACATCTTGGAATTATCCATTTGACCCAAATGGTTGAAGTACTTACCCGCCACCTAAATGGAAAGTATGGTTTCATTTGTAGGTTTATTTTAAAATATAAAATTTCATTGTATTGATAATTATTGTATATCAATTTATTAGTAGAATTTAATGATGAGAAACAAAAGTATAAATGTTGGTTTCAATGAGAGAGAGAGAATAAGATTTATTTAATGCCTTAAATGTGAGACTTAATGAGAGGTAATTGAATGTACTTAATATTATTATTTTAATTACATTTTTAACCCTCTCAATGAAGACAGACTAAATTCAAGAGGAGAGGTATTTTAGTGAAAAAAAAAATTCTAGAAACCTAATACCTCATTCACACTTTATAAGTAGTATAGATATAGATAGATATTTTCATGCTACAAAATGGACAGGTTAGATTCAGCATAAATTTACTTCAACCCAAACCCAATCCAAAAGCCAATTAAGACTGACTGACATTGCCCTGATAGGATGGGCTCACTGGCTCAGTGAGGGGTTACCACTTGACCCAGCCCAATGATATCCCTAAGGTTATGTTTGGTTTGAAGCAAAAGGTAGGGAAAGGAAGGGAAAGATAGGGAAACCTTTATAATCTTTGTATAGATTTCTTTATCTTTCCCTTCCTTTCCCTGCTTTTTTCCTTCAAACCAAACACAGCATAAATTCCTGGGTCTACACATTTTGAAGGTAAGATGCATGGGTTCAGTTTGCTTAACTTATAAATGCCTCTATTTTCCATCCTCACAGTGGTGGGGGTCTTGGGAGTTGAAACTTAGAACCTAGAAGAGGCATTAAAAGTAAAGATGCATCTCTCTTTCAATTCAGGGCTGTTTGGTAAGTCTTTTTGGGTAGATCTTTCAACAGTTCAGTAAACGAAAAAATGCAGGGGTTTTTTCTTTAAAAATCAAGACTTTTTGGTTCATATTATGGCCTATTGGGCTGTTAAAAACAGCTGAAAATGCTATTTCAATGTGAAAAGACCAAAAGCTTTATTTGAAACTTCTGAATTTTTAGTTTTTCCGTGTTTCCACATACTCGTTGTCGGGTCTTTTGATCTACACGACACCAAATGAGAAAAAACCTTTTTCAGTATTTTGAGCTTTCCACAGACCGAAAGACATAAAAAACACACCAGACGCTACCTTATTCACATGTTACATGTTTCACAAATAAAAAAAAAAAACTACACGTTACATGTTCACTATTACCATGCAAAGGTATCCCGAATTCCAGATGAGCTGAAAATGTACTCCGGTGAAAAAAGTGCCACTTCAACTACTTTCTGCAGCATTGATGGACATACACACCCAACCACCATTCATTCAAAATATCATGGTTTTTAAAACCGAACCAGTCAGGGTCCGGTTATCGGTTTGAACAGTCCAACCATTCAATTTGAACGGCTGACCTGTTTTGACAAAAAAAATAAAAAGAAATTGAAAAATGGTCAAAATCGTTCAAATGGTTAATCGGCTAGTTCAGTGGTTTATTGATCAAAATCAACAGTTTTGGGGAAAAACAGAATCAATTAGGTGATCGATTCCCGGTTTTTCTGGTCCGATCTGATTTTGAAAACAATGCAAAATATGGTAAGATGGCTTAATATAGTTTTTATTTATTTTTAATTAAGATACCCTTCCTGACATGCCATGTTGATTAGGGCTGATGTGACACATCAAGACCACAAAACCATTTATTTTTGCATGTTTCATCGCCACATCAACCGAGGATACATTTCCTTGGGTTATGTTTGGTTTGAAGGAAAAAGTGAGGAAAGGAATGGAAAGACCGGAAAACTAAGACAAGGGTTGTAAAAGTTTCCTTACCTTATTCTTCCTTTTCCTGAATTTTCCTTGAAACCAAACATAGCCTTAATGAAAAAACTTTAGCTCTTATCATTATAAAATAAAAACGATCTGATTCACAGTGAATAATGGGGCCACACCTCCTTGTTTTTTAAAAGTTGTGTACTTTTATGATAAGGTGGTTTTAACTTTTAATATCCATTGTGCATACGACCCCTTCCTCCTCTTTTATAATACAAGTGAAAGTAGTCAGTTCTTCCTTAATTTCCCGGTTTTTTGTGAGTTGTTTGTCTCGCGTGTGATTTTTTTTTCTTTAACAAAAGCAATTGTCATATCCAACAAGGTGAGTTCAGGGAGGGTTTTGTAAATTCTAGTCTTCTAGACCCTCACCACCTCTAAACCTCCCAACCCGTACCCTCCCCAAAACCCGCAATGGGTTGGATTTTCAAAATCCAAGCCCTCCCTACTTTTATGGGTTGGACAGGCAGATTCCGAAACTTGCATCTAATTTTCTATTATATACAAGCAAAATAACATGAATAAACATCAAAATTTCCGATTGTATGATTGAAACATTAGAAAACACATGAACTATCAATTTTATTTATAAATTAACTTTTGAACATTTCTAAAATTGAGAAATCAATTTCACTGTACTGATATCGGATTAGCTGAACTTGATGACTATGTAACGGACTACGGAGCAAATGATAATGCCCCAAGCCAGTCATAAAATATTAAGTGAGGGATTGAGCATTGCATTTAGCTAATCTCAATTTCATGTTATCACTCTCTTTTGATAGCTGACAATCAGTCCATGAGAGATGTTAGAGAATAAAAACCCTTTCAGGGCCTCACCTAATAGCTTCAATTCAGTTTTAGGTTGAATTATTCCTTGAGATGGTTCAAATCTATTTGATCAAGTGATTTATTAGTATTTGATCGTCATCCGGTCATCCCCCTTAATTATAATTAATTAAGGTTGTATTTGATATTATTGCTATTTCTACTAAAATGTTTGGAATTTATCGATACAAATTTTCGAGAAATTATCTTATCACATCACATCAAAGTTCTATGTTTATAAAGACTTTGTTTTCATTTGTTTGGAACAAATAGACAACCATTCTTGTACCTCAGCAATTTATTCACAAAGAATTCACATTGCATGTGTTACACCATCATACACCATTTCTATTCTCAACAGTTGCAATGATCTGAAATAATCTATTTATTAGAAATTAAGAGCAATGTAACATGGTACTTAACAAATTAATAACCAATTAAACAACCAGTATTTTCGCTTGAATTCACTTGTAATTCTGATCAGTTAAAGTCTTTTAGCTACCTTTTCAGTACCAATGAAAATAATTTATAGACACAATTACATTGAAACTACCTCAACATCAGACGTTGAGGGAAAAACCCTAGAAAACCAACTTGGAATTTGTAGTAATATTAATACGTTTCTGTCTCAATATTCTTCTGCTTCATCTACAATTTCAAAATTTCTTTACAGACTTACAACTTGATCCTAATCAGGAACTCTAGTAAAAATAAAAATCAACCCTTATAAAATAAACAACAAGACAATACAACTAACTATAAGGTAAAAAGTTTTGAAAAAAAATAATGACATTTCATACTTAAAGAAGGTCATTTATTAAAACACCCCTATAGTTTCATGAATTTACGAAAACTTACCTTATAGTTTTTGTTTTACTAAAACATCCCCTATAGTTCGCAATCAATTTATTTTATCGACCTCTATTAGATGAAAGTGAAAAATGACAGTCTTACCCTAACATCAATTCAAATATATTTAATCAAAAGAAACTAAAAACAAAAGTGCCTTCTTTTCCCCAATTAAAACATGGATAACCATTCTATTTTTTTCTATTTAGTCAATTTTGTTTTCTATACAAAAAAGTGTCGGGGATACTTTTGGAATAAACAACCATGGATCCATACCCTTGAACATTTTTCACTCAATTTAGGGGTATTTTTGGAATAAACAACAATGGGTCTATGCCCTTGAACATTTTCCACTTAGTTTAGCTGACCATATTACTATTTTCATATGGTAAAATAAATATTTCTTAATGAAATATTGATTAAATAAATAAAATACAAACTATAAGGTAGATTTAAGTAAATATGTAAAACTATAGAAGGTGTTTTAGTAAATCATCCTAAAAAAATATAGCCCGGGCTGAATCTAGGCTAGGCCTAATGTATTGGGCCCAAGCCCGCATAGAAAAAGTAGAAACTTTTTTTTCCGGTCTAAAGAAAGTAGAAAAACTACTTGGTGCCTTCTAATATTTCTTTCTGCATACAAAAAAAATGATATATCTACAGAAAACAGAAATTGAAAAGAGGAATGATGAAGGCCCGGCTCGGGTTGAGCTTTGCCAAAATTTAAATAGGCCCGGCCCGAAGCCTGAATGTAAAATGTTCATGGATCATGGGCGGAGCCCGAAGCCCGGCCCGTGAACAGGGACATTACATATGGTGTTAAAGGTGTTCGTAGCAGCCACGGTAAGCCTCATACCGTGGCATATCAATGCCCAAAGAAAAACGTGCACTCAATCGAGTTAGAGTTATGGAGGCTCGACCAGCCGAGTAGGCGGCGAGTCAGCGCAACCAAAAATCTGTGAACCGCCCATCATTTCCTTTTGAGTTTTGTCTCTTTGTCTGAATTGTTTAGATTTTAGAAGAGAGATTCTCGTACCAGTTCAGCAATCTGATCATCTACACATGGTTCCACTACAATCTCTTCAATTGCGCAGAGTCAACAGATTCTTCAAACCCTGTTCTTCTCAAATTGAGGTAATTGTCTTTCTTTGATCCTTCAGATACATTTCTTATTGATGTAACTCTCTCTCTCTCTCTACTCTACTCTCTTCCTCTCTCTTCATCTCTCAGAGTTCAATCAAACTAAACATGCACAACATTTATATTAGCTCAGGTTTATCTTTTAGGAGCAAAGAGTCTCTCTCTTATTCCTTCAATGATTTCTGTTACTTCTTACATGAAAGAATTGGTAATACTTCAGCTTCACCATGTGCTTGTTGTGCCTTTTCCGTTCACGGAGTGCCCGTAAACCCTAGAATTTTGTATGGGTTGAGGCAGTCCACTCTAATTCACCGGTCAGCTTCTAGAAGACTGATCCTGGGTGGTTTGGATCGTTATTGCCGGTTGCCCGTTTGTGATCTCGATAGAGTCTGTTATCGAATTTCATGTTCTCTTAAGGAAAGTAATCTTACTAGTAGGAGGAGGAGGCCCGGGAGGAGAGACGGGAAATTTGGTTGTATGGTTTGGGAGGAGAAGAGTGAGAGATGCGACTTAGGTGTCGATGGAAGTGCTGAAGCAATGCTCAGCTTGTTGACTGAAGAAGTTAATCAGAAGTTCTTCGGTGTTCGGGAGAAGAATGCTAGATCGGTAACAGGGAGAGTTCGGGTGGAGAAGAGAGGGAGAGCTGTTCACGAGTGTTCTAAAGAAGAAAAGGAGCATGCTGGGACCTATTCTTCAGAGGGGAGGGCTCGGGTTGAGCAGAGAGGAAGCGTTGTTAACGAATGCTCTAAGGAAGAAAAAGAGCATGCCGGGACCAATTCCTTGGAGAGGAAATCAAAGGGTGAATACAGAGCTGTCAAAATTAAATCAAGAGAAGAATTGTATCAGCAATCAGGACGGAGGGAAGCTTCTTCAAATAGTGAGAATCGTGGTGCAAGGACAGATGGATCCAGCTGCTCTTCTTACTACTCTGTGTCTTCGGGTGATCTTGATGACAGTGTGGATGTTCAGGTCGAACATGAAGAGCTTGTTGGAGAATCATCAAGTGATAAGAAGGAATCAAGGGGGTTCAGAGAGGAGGTATTTGTGGGGGACATTGTAGAATCTGACAGGTATGGTTGTGATGATACTGAAGAATACAGGGGACTCTCAAGTCAGAGAAAGGCTTCTGTGCAGTCAGATGCAATGGGAATTGATTTTGAGTTAGATTTAAGAAAGAAGACAGAGAAGAAGCTAACAGAAGTATTGGTTGGGAATACAGAAACAAGAAAAGAGTCCTCACAGAGGTTTTCTGCTGGAGTAGAGATCCATAAGAGTGGTACCAAAAGATCTTCTACTTCCCAGAATCAATTGAATGTGAGGAAAAAGGATTCAAATTCAACTGTTAACTTGACTGAGGAAACAAGAAAGCAAGACAATCAAATAGGTCTCCTAGTGAATGAACAGCTTGAGTCAAGAAGAGAATCCCAACTACACAATAAAATGTCAGAGATCTGTCAAAGTGATATCCAGATGGCCTCCAGCTCTCTAAAGCAATCCAGTGGGAGGGAAGGGAACTTCAATTCAGCTGTGAATTTGATCCAGGAGGCAAGAGATAGACATAGCCAAATGGATCATGTAACCATAGAGCAAGCTGAATCAAGATCAAAATTACAGGCTTCACAACAGCTCATGAAAATGTCAGAGGCCCATGTCAGTGATACCAAAAGGACCTCCACTTCACAGAGGGTTTCTGAATCTAGAATTAACAATAGGGTTGAAAATTCAACTTCTATTCTGCTTTCTGTTCAGGAGGGAAATAATCAGCAAAACCAAACTGATCAAGAATTTTCCAGTAGAACTGACTCAAAATTTGAACCCCAGGATCTTACCAATACTGAAAATATTCTGGTACAGTCAAATGAAAGAGAAAAACAAGCTAGTGAAAGTTTTGTAGAAAAAGTTGGCCTAAGAAGAAAAGAGTCCCAAAGGCCAATCAAAATGTCAGGCTTCCATAAGAATAGCACAGAGGGGAGCTGTAGTTTCCAGAGACCATCAGATTCAGTTCCACAAGGCCAAGAGCAACAAATTGATGCATGGAAGGAAGATGAGAGAAATTCACAGGTAATGATTACACCTCCACCATCTCAATTAATACCAACAGGTTCACCAAATGTTAAACTGACTGGCAATAATGCAACACAAGAGCTTTCTAGTGAAGCCTCAGAAGGTAGCATTAGCACTATGTTTACACATCTGCAAGGGGAAGCTTGTGGAACCACAACAGATGAGACTTGTGGGAAACACCCAGGGCTCATTTTCCATGAAGATGTATTAGGTTCAGCTGATCGGTTAGAGAAATCCTCCACGCATTTTGTAGGGGAATTTGTAAAGAAGCTAATAGATGAAGTACCAACATCTGAAATACAGAAGCAAAGTACCTCTTCTGAAGAAACGAGAATATATAAGGATGAGAAATATATGCAACAGACTTCGAGCCACTATGCATCCAATGAATTCCAGTCAACAATGCATTCTTCAAGACAGTCATCTGATGGTTCTGGATCAAAGGGACCCCCCGTTGAAATGTGGGATGTTGTGGAACCATCTTTGCAGGAAGCTCCTAAGACGGAAGCACCTGAAGAGACCGCTCCCACAACTGAGAGTGTTATTGTCAGGAGAACTGGCAAGTCCTTGTGGAGTATCATTGGAGATATAATCCGACTTCGCTGGGGTACACGTGCAGAAACTCATAATTCAGCTGCAAAATCTAGTGGTAGGAGTTCATCAAATGAGTCTGTTAGCAGTGATACATGGTTTTCTGGACATGAGCCAGATGATAATGATGATGCAAACTTCAAAGGTGGAAGAAGAAACAGTCCTAAGGAGCCCAAATCGGTTGATCGACCGCAACAGGGGAAAACTGCAACTCATAGACTAAGGGGAACCTTTGAAGCAACAACTTCCCTTGGTGGAATGTCACAGGTTGAAGGCAATATGCCTTCTTATTCAGGTCTGTCAGAAAGAGGGTCGACATCCCAGGGTGCTTCCTCAGCACGTGGCGAGGAAGATTCTAGTAGGAAGGAAAATGGAAAGAGAGATCAAATTGTTTCTACCAATATTAGAACCACAGACTCATCATCACAATCACCCCGACAACTCTTAATAAGATCTCCAGCCATAGATATATCAGAAAGCAGTAAAGTTGAAACATCTACAAGTAACTTAAAAGCGCAGGTGGAACAACCAGTTGGAGAGAGGCTAGCTGAAACCTCTGGAACAGAGGGGAAGGATGGGCAATTGAAGCATAGAAAGCTTCAGCGGGCCAAACAAGTCCCAAAAGATAGATTTGATGAATGGGAAGAAGCATATAAACTTGAAACTGAACAGAGAAAAATCGATGAAATGTTCATGAGGGAAGCACTGCTGGAAGCCAAGAAAGCTGCTGATACTTGGGAGGTTCCTGTTGGTGCCGTGCTGGTACAAGATGGAAAAATTATTGCCCGTGGTTGCAACTTGTAAGTAGTTTAGTGGTTATATTTCTATTATTCTGAATAAACATTTGTTTAGTTGGGTCATTTGTAATTTTATATGTTGCAGAGTGGAAGAATTGAGAGATTCCACTGCCCATGCAGAAATGATTTGTATACGGGAAGCTTCTAACCTACTTCAGACATGGAGACTTGCGGTATTTACTTTTATGCTTTAGTCTTTTCTTTTCTCATTCTAATGGCTAGCTTTTCTTATTTGCTCATTGTTTGTTTTCTTTGATTTTTAATCTGGTGCCTTGATTTTCAGATTATTAAAATGAATAGCAAGCTCTGATAAGTTTATGTTCCTTTATGTTGATTATTATAAGGTGTTTTACTGCCATGAAGAACTGCATTTGAGTCAAAGAAAATAAATGTAATAGGTATGCATGAAATTTAGTTAAATCCATCTTCCAGAGTTTTCTTGTCTCTTATATTTCATTTTCTAAGGCTCCTATGAAAATCATTAGAGAATTTCATTGGGACCATTCCATCATTTGGGATATGATTGGTAAGGGAAAGGATGGTGCTGGTCTTGGTATTATACTATTATTAGAGTTTGACATGGAAATACATCCCTTATCCTGTAGATTATTAAAGTTGGCTTTCAGTGAATGAAAAAAGTCAATATTCTGTTAACTATAGGCCCTTTTTTTGACCTCTTTTTGCATATACATTTTATCCATGAGAACATTTGATTTCATTTCCATAATTGAGCTGTTAAAAGATGTGTACTCCAACTCTCAAGGGTGTTCACATTGTGTCTTATTTGTTGATTCAAATGTATCATCTTGTTCTTTCTTCTTTCAGGTTCTTGATGTGAACGATTTTAGCACCTATGCTTTTAAATTCAAATCCATATTGCTAGGCCTACACCTATCCTTTTAGAAGCTGAGGCATTTTATTGTGAGGTTCTGCACATGAAAATAAACATGCGTAAATGTTCCAAATGCAGGAAAGTATGGGGAGTTTTATCTTTAAATTTGTATTTTAGGGAAGGCTAGTTTGACTCTGAATCATCATCTATTGTACCTGTACTTCAGTGTTTTAAAAACTCAACTGGTGATCAACCCAGATTTATACCCAGTGTTTTAAAAACTCCAGTGTTTTGACAGTGAGTCAGACTGTCAAAAGATCTGAGCCCTTCAATCAAAATATTGGGGGCATCTTCTCAGTTCTCATATGTATATGTTGGTGAGAGAAATAAAGAGAGCGAGAGAAGAAGAATAAGAGGGAAGATACTCACCATTGCCTTCAATGTTGCTGTGGCACATCACCATTGCCAGTAAATCTCTCTCTCTCTCTCTCTCGCTGTATAACATATATTATATTGTTTTATTCTATTTTATTTAAATTTGAAAGACTTGATTAAAACTGTGACTCATGAATGGTTTGAACAGTTCACCAGTTTGACAATCTGGGTTGATGGTTTTTTGACCAAGTCAATAGGATTTTGAAATCTACCTGGTTTGGGGTAAAATGGACCCATCATTGTCTATTGGTGACGGATCAACCAGTCCGTCTATCTGGGTCAATGACAGGTTGTAAACACCACTGTACTCTATAGAGGCTAAGGCTATGGCTTCCAGAGTGAACAGATCTTTCAGATGGATTCTGAAGTTGGTTAATTTGATAGATGATAGACTGGCCAAGAGTGGGGTTAGAAAAAAATTGATATTTCTGATTTTTTTGTTAAGTAGTTATTTTAAACAAGTATAGAAAACAAGAACAGGGCCACAGCTCCACAAGGATTTTACATGGCTAATGAGAAGGAACCATGTGAAAAATATGTATGCATAAGCTTCTGAAGATCAAAAGATGATTCAAAAATAATTTTTTGCCCTATTCATTCCTGACATAATTGTTCTTGAAGTGTTCAAAATCCTTCAAAATGGATGTCTGAAGTTTATTTGTTTTCTGAAGTTTGTAATGAAGTATTTCACTATTTTTGGGTTCTCTTATCTGTTTTCCTCCACGTGATAACCTTGTTCTTTCACATCCTTGTTCCATCTCTAGTGTGGTCAGTAGCATGAATTCTGTTTTCCCTCTATTGAGAAGGAGATGAAATGCTTGAATGCTTGGTGCTCTACTCAAAGTGACCTACTTGTGAAATAGATCTGATACTCAATTTGACCGTGTAAAAGAAATCGATCTCTTCATATACTTTTCTTGCCAACTCTGCTTCCAATATGTTAGTCACACAAACATCTAATTCCATGTATTCCGTTCTCATTTTCATGCTCCTGATATTATATTGGTCTTGCAAAGCTAACACTTGTCTTATTTTGCCTAGCTTGAGGCTTTGAGTGAGGAAATTTTTGCTGTTGATGTGGACAATAACCTAATAAATTATCAAGTCCAACAAGTGTTACACATCCTGGCACCCATTGCTTTCACTTGAAAATGTAATATAACCCAGTAATATCTTTTTAGGTCAAGGGAGGGCTAGGTTTTAATCTCTTTGCCTAGCTTAACAGATAGGGAAAATTTTAATCAACACCCACTTTATCCACTTCTGCAATTGTATCCATTGCAAGGTTTTTACAGGGATAGTATTTACTGTGGAGCTTCTTTACTTTGTTGATGAATTGTAGGCAAAAGGCAATGCAAATTCAGATGATAATGGGGAAATGCTTGTTAAGTTGTTATTGAAAATTTTAAGGAGATGACTAGGATGTGTCTATGACTTGCACTGAAAAACTTGAAAGTTTTATCCCTAAACAAGATCTTAATAAATAGATTTTTCTAATTCTGCAAGACACTTCTCATCAGTATGCTCTTCCATTGACTAATGATGTAATTTTATTGTAAGAAACCAAGACTTGGTTGTATTTGCACATGTTCTTTGCCAACAAGTATGCCAAGTCACTGGTGCAGATATCAACACTAAAACCTGTAAAGCATTTTTCTAGGAGTAAACACCCTTAACTGGGTGGTGACAGTTTATTCTCTTAATTTTTCTAATGAAAGTTACCGTTTCTGATAAAAAAAAAACACTAAAACCTGTAAAGTCTTCCTTTGAGCATACCCAGTCAGAAACCCATTAGGTGAATCAGATTTATTAGGGTTCTGACCTGCTCCTATTTTTCTTGAAAAACTCTAGAATTTCTTTCTACCCATATCACCCGCAAATTGCAACAGTTGCTCTTTGTGATGGAGAGGACAACAGGGATGAAAACAAAGAATGAAGACCTTCTGCACCTGCCATTAAATACCAAAGAGAGAGAAGAAGAATCTCCTAAAGCCCTCAGACTAGAGAGCTTCTCCCTCAAAGGCTCAAACAAGTGGCATCATCTCAAAAGTGGTTACCCCCACTTTCAAACAAAACCTTCCTTCCTCAGACATGTGTCTACCCACTCAAAAAAAAGTATGAGCTTCAAATAGTAGTTACTTCCACTAAAAGTTTAGTGGTAGTTACCTCCACTAAAAAGAAAATAAAAACAAAAACTCATTTCAAATAATGTAGGATCCATTACTCATCAAAAAAACAATGTAGGATCCATAAAGTGGATTATTATTTAAAAATAAACTTGATTTGATATCTTAAATTAAACACCAAGTTTATATATAAAAAAATATAAAATAAAATAATAACTTAAATTTACAACATAAAAAATGGGTGTCAAGCAAAACTTATCAGAATACATGAACTAAAATATATATATATATATATATATATATATATATATATCAGAATACTAGCCACATACTTAGTACAGGGGTCGTTCTTTATTATTTATAAATAAAACTTGATTTGATTTCTTAAATTAAATAATAAAAAAATATATAAAATAAAATAATAACCTAAATTTACAACATAAAAAATGGGTGTCAAGCAAAACTTATCAGAATACATGAACTAAAATATATATATATATATATATATATATATATATATCAGAATACTAGCCACATACTTAGTACAGGGGTCGTTCTTTAGTATCATAAACAAAAGAGCAAAAGAGGTGAGAAATAATCTGTCCACTACACCCATGAAGAAAACACAATGACAAGAACACCATCTTTTTTGACAATAATCACAGGTCATAATCTATGATACCTAAATACAAGGGTGCCATATCATGTCAGATACTTCAAGTTTTAGTGTAAATTTCATATCTGGCAGTGTCATTGCTATATCTGGGTGGTATAGGTCATAATCTTCATATGGTACACCTCCCAGAATTGGGGAACAAAGGGTAACTGAGACGAGTTTTAGAAAAGGACAAAAGAGAACATCCCTTTAGAATCAGCAGTCCAAAGTCTCTTGTCCCAACCAACATTAGGAAACTTGTGAGCTATAATTTGTTGTATTGGTCTGCATGCACAAGATTCAAATTTTGGAACAGTGTTCTGAGTTAAGAGTTTCTATGAGAGTAATTCTAGCTTCTAGGCCAGTTCCACTCCAAGTATATAGATCCAGTAGCTTATACTTAGATCCTGCCCTGCCCTTTGGCATGTTTCTGGTTACTAAGATGCAATATAACAGATAAATGTCTAGTGTTTTCCTGCAATTCTCTTGGTTATGCGATGGTCTCTTGATTATTTATATTTCAATTCACATATTTATCATTTGTATACTTCAGGAGACAACACTTTACGTAACACTTGAGCCATGCCCCATGTGTGCTGGAGCAATTCTTCAAGCTAGAATCGATACTTTGGTATGGGGTGCTCCCAATAAGCTTTTAGGAGCAGATGGCAGCTGGGTTAGGTATGCAATTTGGTTCCTTCTCTGTAATTTTTCTTTATTTTATTCCTTTTCATTGGTCAGTTCTTGAAGTACATTATGCTGAGAATCTGGTTTCAACTTTCTGTCCATGAACAATGAAAAGTCCAGCTTTTCAAAAATATCACTGTTTAATGTGTCCATCTGCCACAACTTTTTTTTTTTGATCAATAACAGTGTACACCCAAAATGTAAAGCAATTACAGCACAGCCCAAAACATAGAGTTTCTGTTCACCCCTTGCCTTGCTAGACCATCTGCCAATGAATTTGCACTTCTCTTTACCCATGTACATTGAATTTCAATGTCCTTAGTCAGCCACTTAAATTTCCTCTTTTCATTGCTGTAATTCCAGAGCCTAGAGTTGTCCTCTTTTAGCCAGTTCACCACAATTTCAGAATCTCCTTCTATGGTCAATTTATTAATATTCATGTCCTTGACCCTTTGTACCCCTTCAAGGGCTGCTAGTATCTCAGCCCTCAAAGAATCTCCCACCCCAATTGGACCAGAATATATAGCTAACAGATTCCCTTTTTCATCTCTTACCACTCCCCCTATTCCGGAGGGCCCTGGATTGCCCATACTGCTGCCATCGAAATTCAGTTTAGTAAAACCATGAGGTGTAGGGGTTCAGTAGGAACTCGAAGCCTTTTTAGCTAAAGATGATTCCGCAATCTCCTTCCAATTCCTTAGCAACTCAACAACTGAGAAATCTGCAAACAAGTCCAAAGTTTTCAACCAATGTATCACCCTAATATGAATAACCTCCAAAATTACTTCCAAGTTTCTCCCCTTATCTGAAAAAATCCGTGAATTCCTCTCCTCCCAAACAATTCAACAAACTGCGGCCCTAACACATCTCCACATAATCTTAGCCCTTTTTGTTGACCAATTAGGCATGGAAGTGAATAAGCTTTGCACATTCAAAAGGGGAGTCCACCTGCACCCAAACAGAGAAGTAAACCATTCCCAAATGACTTTAGCAAACTGACAGGAAATTAGTAAATGGTATCCATACTCATCATTAGATTTACAGAGGACACACCAGTGAGGAGATAAACAACTATTAGGTTTTTTTCTTTTAAGTAAATCGCTTGTATTAACTCTTTCCAGAAAGGCTTCCTAACAGAAACTCCCAACCTTTGGAGGTATAGGTTGACACCACACCTCTTTAACATGAAGGGATAATCTAGCAGAAGAAGGTTGTATTAGGGCTTTAAAGAAAGAGGCATAGGTGAAGGAACCTGAGGAGTGAGTGTCCAAATTCTACTGTCTGCCTTTGTTGGCTCTAGGAAGACCCCTTCAAGAATGGATAACAAGGACAAAGTACAACTTAACTTTGTGTCCCTGATGTCTCTTCTCAAACCCAAGTTCTAGCCGAACCCAAAAGTTGAGTTGGAAGGTACAAGGAAGGAGGAAACCGGTTCATTTTTAAGGGTAGAGATAGCAAAAAGAGCCAGAAATTGGTCTTTTAAAGAGGTATCCCCAACCCAAACATGTTCCCAAAATTTAATGAGGTTGCCTAAGTGCAAATACCTGATCCAGGGAGAGAACAAGGGCAAAATAGCTTGAATGGCTTTCCAAGGAGATGCTCTTGTATAGTGATTTAAAAGGCGCGCCTCAGACGCGCCTAGGCACACAGGCGAGGTGCATTTTAGGGTAGGCGCCTCGCCTAGGTCCTAGGTGCAGCCCATTCAAAAGGCGCATGCCTGGTGCACTTTGCGCCTTAGACGTGCGCCTTTTGAAAATTTGATGCTTTTTCCTTTTTTTTGAGGGGCATGGCACAAAGGTGGCTCGTAGAATTAGGAATGCAATATGTCAAATTAGCTACTTAATTTAATTGAGAAAAAAGAGATTGTGGGTTTTATATGCTTGAAAATGTTTTATATGTTTGATTTCATTTTTAAATTCTCATTTGAATATGCTTTACATATTATGTTTACGTATTTTAATTTTAGATAATAAGTTTTTTAAACATTTATTTTAAAATTTAAGTTCATATTTTTATTAATATTATGTTTTATATATTTTTTTTTATTTTTTTGGCATTTTTTACCTTTTTTTATTTTTTAGCTTTTTTTTAAATTGTGCGCCTTGCCTCAAAAAGGTGCGCTTGCCTTGTGCCTTGCGCCTTAGGCGCAAAATGGCCCTTGCACCTTTTTTGTGCCTTTCGCTTTTAAAACACTGCTCTTGTAGTCCTTGCTAGAATCCCAGACCCAGAGTCCCATCCTTTGTTAGCAACCCCATGAATACTAACCACTATCTTAACCCAAAGTTTTTTCTTTTTCCAATGAGAATCTCCACGGCCATTTCCCTAATAGTGCCAAGTTCCTATTCCTTATGTTCCCAATACCCAGACCTCCCTCCTTCTTACCATAGTTTTCAAGGCGTCTAGGTGATTCTGGCGACACTGGGGCGCCTAGGTGATAAAAATTTTATAATATAAAAATCTGACTTTTGGCTAGTTTCCTAGTTTTATATACCATTCAACATGTATGTTAATTGAAAAAATAGCAATTCTCTTTTTTAAGAACATTAAATTTCCTCTAAAATGTGGCAAATCATCACATCTAAAAGATACAAATCTTTTACATATATTAATTTCATTATTTTCAAAAATAA